GAATATACGGATCAAATAAAGATGATACGCAACATTTCTATTAATAACATAAAATGAATACATGTGACATTGATATGTATAATATAAATGACGTGAAATTACGTATGATTTGGAGTGATTTTGTTTAAAATCACACTAATCACATAAGTTCCGTATCCCTGATTTACATTTTACAATTATATACTAATTAATCTTGAATGAAACTTTTTCACACATGTACTAACAGATCCTAAATGATAATCCGTTGATCACATATAAAATTCAAATGTTCACGTTACTCATAATGAATTGAGTTGTTCTTGCACATGAATACGTACTAGTTCGAATATTTGAATTTTTTTTTTTTTTCATTAAAAAAAAAAAAAACATAATGAAGAAGATTTATAAAAAATTATTTCATCATAAAAAATCAACCAAGTTAGATTTTTATAATATTGGAAACAATTATCTAAATGGTATAGGTGTTGAAAAAGATGAACTTAAAGCATTCTATTATTATCAAAAATCCGCGGAAATGGAAGATGTTAATGGAACATTTCAAGTTGGATATTGTTATTATGAAGGAATTGGAATCGAAAAGGATGAATATAAGGCATTCGCTTATTATCAAAAATCTGCAGAGATTGGTAATGCTGATGGAACTTATAGTGTCGGATGTTGTTATCATCATGGAATTGGAGTTGAAAAAGATAAACAAAAAGCATTCATTTATTATCTAAAATCTGCTGATATGATGAATGGTAGTGGATCAAATAATGTTGGTTATTGTTATGAAAATGGAATTGGAGTTGATAAAGATGATCATAAAGCATTCATTTATTATCAAAAATCTGCCGAGATGGGGAATGCTAGTGGAATTGGTAATGCTGGACGTTGTTATGAAAATGGAATTGGTGTTGAAAAGGATGAACGTAAAGCATTTATTTTTTATAAAAAATCCGCAGAGATTGGAAATGCTTGTGGGATATTTGCAATCGGTAACTGTTATAAAGATGGAATTGGTGTTGAAAAGGATGAAAATGAAGCATTTAATTATTATCAAAAATCTGCTGATATGAATGATTCTAATGGTGTGTTTGCACTTGGTGATTGTTATCAAAATGGAATTGGAGTTGAAAAAGATGAAAATAAGACATTCCTTTATTATAAAAAATCAGCAGATATGGGAAATGCTGATGGAACAAATATGGTTGGATATTGCTATTCTAATGGAATAGGAGTTGAAAAAAATGAACATAAAGCGTTCATTTATTATCAAAAATCTTCAGAAATGAGAAACACTGATGGGACACATAACGTTGGATATTGTTATGGTGAAGGAATTGGAGTTGATAAGGATGAACAAATGGCGTTCATTTATTATAAAAAATCTGCAGAGATGGGAAATGCTAGCGGGACATTTGCACTTGGAAACTGCTATAAAGATGGAATTGGTGTTGCAAAGGACGAACAAAAGGCATTCATTTATTATCAAAAATCTGCAGAAATGGGACACGTTAGTGGAACATTTAATGTTGGACATTGTTATAATAAAGGAATTGGAGTTGAAAGGGATGAACGTAAAGCATTCATTTATTATCAAAAATCTGCAGAAATGGGAGACACTAATGGGATATTGGCGCTGGGCGTCTGTTATCAAAATGAAATTAAAGTTGAAAAGGATGAACGTAAAGCATTCAGTTATTATCTAAAATCTGCAGATATGGGGAATGCTTTGGGAACATGTAATGTTGGATATTGTTATCGTCATGGAACTGGGGTTGAAAAGGATGAACGTAAGGCATTCATTTATTATCAAAAATCTGCAGAGATGGGATGTCCTTATGGAATATATAATGTAGGGTGTTGTTATCTTAATGGAGTTGGAGTTGAAAAGGATACAAATCAGGCATTTATTTATTTTAAAACATCTGCCGATTTGGGAAATATTTACGGAATGTATAATGTTGGAGAATGTTATCGACTTGGAGAAGGGGTTGAAAAAGATGAAAATATGGCGTTTATTTATTATCAAAAAGCTGCTGATTTGGGAGAGATTGTTTCAATTTTTAATCTTGGAGAATGTTATAAGAATGGTGCCGGAATTGAAAAGGATTTGAGAAAAGCTTTTGAATTATACTTGAAATCCGCCAAACTTGGTCTAGTTAGCGGAATGAAGAGTGTAGGATATTGTTTTCGAAATGGTATTGGGACAAAAAAAAACTTAAAAGAGGCCGAGTATTGGTTCCGAATGTAAGTTTTTTCTTACTTCAAAAAATAGATATATTTTTTAATAAGATAATAACATTTAATAATGATAATTAATAGGGAGAAAAATAAATTTCAAGGTATTTATTAATTTAATAATATTAATATTAATATTAATATTAATATTAATATTAATATTAATATTAATATTAATATTAATATTATTATGGTTTTATCTTATTTTGTCAAGTATTTACATTTATCGATTTAATTATGAAATTATGAATAGAAATAAAGAAATTCACTTACTTTGACGTTGATGACAATGTGAAAGAAATATTGAATGAAGAAAGATATCAATTACTATGGATTCCATATAATAAATTTGAAAATATTAAAGAGATTGGAAAGGGTGGATATGCAACGGTTTATCATGCTAAATGTCGAATTTGGTATAAGGATACTTCTGATAAATATTCGTTCGCAATTAAAAAAATTCATGAACAAGATTTTTTTAACGAGGTAAAAATTTATTATGTTTTTTTATATAATGTTTAAATTTATTGTTAATATTTTTTTAAAAAGTTAAAAGCATTTTGCGAGTTCGGATATAAAAACCCATCGTTCTTAAAATGTTACGGACTATCGAGAGACGATTCAGGAAATTATATTCTTATTTTTAAATATGCAGAAAAGGGATCTTTACGTAATAATCTTCACGAAGTGTCACAAATGAAATGGGAAGAAAAATTAAATTTATTAAGATGTATAATATCAGATCTTGAAGAAATTCATTCACAAGGATTAGAACATCGAGATCTTCATAGCGGAAACATTTTGCAGGACGAATTGGAGAACGCTTATATTACGGATTTGGGACTTTTTAATACCAAAAAAGAAGTGAATGGAGTTTTACCTTATATAGCACCAGAGGTTTTACAAGGAAAACCATATACTCAAGCAGTTGATATATATGCTTTAGGTGTCATTATGACAGAAATATCAACTGGAAGAATAGCTTTTGACGGTCATAATTTTGATGAACTTGCTATAGAAATATGCCGCGGATTACGACCAAGATTTACAACTGGTGTCCCTGATTGTTATATTGAATTAGCACAGCGGTGCATGGATTCGACCCCGAAAAAACGACCTACTATCCGATCTATTAATGCTTTAATTACTTATTGGATTGAAGAAATAGAAAACTCTGATGATGAAAATATAATAAGAAAACAATTTTTAGATGCTGATAAAATTAAGCCTATCATTGAATCATCAAAACATTCGAATTATATGTATATCAGTCAACCTATTGATACTTGGGAGATATCAGAAAGATTAGAACAATATGAAAGTTCTGATGATTTATAAATTATTTATTTATTTTTTTACTGAATCATTAAGAATCATAAAATAATATAATATAATTTTTATCAAATTTTTTTTTTTTTTTTTTTTTATAGATATTAAACAATTATATTATTTAGATAATATTAAACTCGTAATATATAATTAATTGAATAGTCGTATAATTTAAGTTGTTAGGAGGGGAAATTGTTTGTTAGATGTCGATATTATATTGAACTGTTTGATTTTATGATTTATAGGAGTTTAAGCAATAAGTATGCCGGATATTCTTAGCTTAAATTGTCAAGTTATCATATTCATAATATTGGTGGTACTAAGCACAATTAATAAAGCTTTCATCATAAGTTATATAGTTAATTTTTGCTATTATGTTTGCTGGTATTATTCCTTAATGACAGCCTACCCCGATCCTAAATTTTGGTCGATCTGCTGAATTTTGGTTGCGCGACTAATCTATCCTAAAAATTCAATGTAGAATAAAACATTTCAATAAGTTATGAATTTCTTACATCCATATCGTATCCTAAGTAACACCTATTCGTATTCTCAAAACTTATAATCGCACGATCTGCAAATTTTGATCATTTTTGCTCATACAGTCGTCCAATCAAAATAAGCAAAAGTCACAACTTTGCCTTATCATACATAATCATTATACGTACAGTAGTACTTTTGGATAAGACTCTGTCATTTTTTAAACAAGCATGTGCATACTATCTCATAATTTTGATAAAAAAAAAGGACCCAATCGGTCCCAAGAAAATTACTATGATTTTTCCATCGAGTTATTAATTAAGGTTATTTAGAATTAAATTTAGGGCATACTTTCTTATTAACAAAAGTAGCATACCCTCTTTAAAATTTAAAGTTCTAAAAATAATCCAAAACTTTGTATCGATACAAATTTTAGATCATCTCTAGATTTTTGAGGTAATTAATAAATCTCGATGAAAAATTCATCTCAATTTAGTAATTTTCCTGGGACCGATGCAACCCTGCTGTAATAGTAAGTATCAACGTGTCCATTATAAATTCCCATACTATCAATTCATTCATAAATAAAAAGCCACTATATTACAGTAATGTTTCTGTACTTGATTTATAACGCAATAACAATTCACGAATTTTTGATTTCGTGTAATCCGTAAAATCTCACTTGTTTATCGATATAGAAATGATATCATCATTTGATCATGCATTTTCATGCTATGATAAAATTTTTCACACGTAAATTCGCAAGTAAACAAAAACTATCGGACTTAGCCCCTGATACAGAATTTCTCATTCTTTTTAGTACACGTTTTTTTAAATCTTGGCGTTAATCAACTTTTTACTGAAGGAGAAAAGTATTAACATAACTTTGTAAGAACACTAACTTCAGAGTAATTAAATCGATTTGAAGGAGGGAAAGCATTAAGATTTTATACACTTGACCTTACAATATGGATCACGATAATATTGATTCCAATTCAAATTATATTATTTCTCAATTAAATGAATATATGCTGCGATTAAGTAACACACCCACAGCAACTAATATAATCGAAAAACCAAATTCAAATGATCCTACTGAATGGGGAATGTATATTGAATATGTAAAAGAATCTACCGAGGAAAAGATAAGAACTTCTGAATATGAACGTGTTGAAAGCTTAATAGAACATACATATAGAATTATACAAGATTCCGATAACATCATATTCACAAATGACAAGACTAAAAAGAAATGGATCAAAGATCAGCTCAGTTGTTCGATCTCTAATGACTACGCTAACTCAACTAAAAATCGCTACAAACAAGTAATGTATAATATATATTATTTTTATTTTATTTGACTTTTTTTAATAATAATAATTTTATTATTTGATAGATATATGATCATATTTACGAATTTACCTACCCTTAAAGAAATCAAAATTACTTCTCGGTTTTTATATGAATCAAATTTTAAAAGGAAAACCACATTTAAATATCTTTATGATAATTTCATCAACCTTTTAATTAGAAAATGTAAAGAAAAACTTATTCCATAACAGTTTTCAATAAATTTTTTAAATCACATGTATGTTCTTTTGGCTTTTTGGCCCACACTAAATATCAAACCTGATATTTATCTTGGTGCTAATTATGCATATTTTATTTCACGTCATGTAAATATATTGAATTATTTTACGACAGTAAGCATGATACAATAAAATAAAATAATCAATTAATCTTTACAAAATTTAAAAATAAATCTGTAATATCTTCAATAAATGAAACATAAAATCAACAACTTCTCAAATAATATTCCCAATATAAAATTTAATAACTCTGGTAGTTCATTCGTAAAGAATTGAGTAAAATCAATTAAACATATCATGACCTTTTTAGAAACCTCTTTAATTTCTTGACTCGGTCTCTTCATAGTTTTCACAAAACACATAAAAGTAGCGAAAAGATTTTTAATATACTAAAATGAACCTCATATACTTAATAAAATTATACACAAATTTTGCAGACCGCATCACACATGTTCAATCACTTGATAGTAAAGCAATTTTTTAATAAAAATTCAATGGCAAATAAAATATTATTTAATTATGACTCTCTTGTATCCATATCCTCAAAAATAACATTTATATTCTTAAAGACAACTTCGACAATCGTGTAATCAGACAACAATAATGTGATTGTATGTGTGAGCTGCGATTTACAAAATTTGATCAAAGATACATTCTGCAGCGATAAATGGGTTCTCCGTGGTAGGATTTGCAATTTTACTATTATTGGGAAAAGACCAATGAACTTTACGCGTCTGGATCTCCTCAAGACTCACTAAACCAAACTGCCAATTTAGCGCTATTAAATATGCATATCTCCAATTATGATGACAATAAACTGAAAATTGGTCATGTCAATATCTTTTTTAAAAGCCAAACCTAGAGTGCTTATATAAATGAAGATACGCGTATATTACTGAAAAAAATTTATCATCAATGTAAAGATTCCAATTAAATATGGAGGTTTTAAAAAAGATGAGACATTCCATGCGGTTAATAAATCTATGTAAATCATCAATACAGTGCAAACTGTTGTAAAATTAAAGTCTAAATATAGCAAATTGTAACCATGTTTTATTGAAATCAGAACAAGAATAGTATATAGTTATTGCATACGAAGTATGCAATAACTGCTGTATTTTATGGACGATGATGATTGGTTGGTAACCCAGCCG